AATATGACTGAATAACAACAACAAAGTTTTACTTTATTTTGCAACTCAGCATTTTCCTTACTTTCCAGTTATTACTTTATGGCTGGTTCACGCTCAGTGAAATGAGACATTGTCACAGGGAACCAAGATAGTAAAGCTCGCTCCAGCATCAAACAAGATCATGTATGTAAGGCACTTTACAAGTTATGAAGTCCTCTTGTCATCTGCTATTAGTATTTTTTGACTAAAACTTCCTGTTGATAACTCATTTGTGCTAAGTCCTACCTAAATAAAAGGTCTTCAAATATGGCATAGTGATGCACTGAATGTCTGGCAAGTAAAGACTAGCCAGACTTAGGTCAGAATGTCAACATTAAATGGAAATTTTGGCCACAGCAAACCTCAATGACTGTCTACTGAGTCACAAAGGGGTTGTGATCTCCACTGGCATCCACACTGACAAAATAATAGATTCCTGAAGCACAGATGCAGAATTATTATTAGGACCTAAAGGGCCAGCCCTGCGATGTCATCAGTGCTTGGGGGTACCAGCAAGGTAAAGTGACTCGCCAACAGTATACCCAGAAACTTAGTACACTAACTAGCATGCAGTAAGTGCTTAATAAATGCTTGTTGACTGACAGTCCCACAGCAACTATATTTCAGAAGCAGGACTTGAACCCAGGGCTTTTTGACTCTGAGGCAGGTCTTCTATCCACTATGCCATAGTGTCTCTCTATTATTAGTATTATCACTAACAAGGGTCGGCTGGAATTCAGTCAAGTTCAGTATGTTTGGGTCTGCTGGAACAGACCTATTGGTTTTATTCAATGGAAACAGTCTTAGGGAAGGTAGATTAGGTAGGATGATACTAAATTCTAAAGATCCTAAAGAAACCAAACTACTTTTGGTTCCTCATCTGCCCCAGGAGAAGTTCCAGCAACAGTACCAAGGGGTCCCTAAAAGAAATCAAAGCTCTTGTTTTCCTTGCACCACAGTGTTCACTGAGTGTTGAACTGAATTACTGAATTGAAATTCCTTAGTGTAAGGATAAAGGGGGAAAGAAAAGATCCTATCTCCTTGGGCAATCAAAGATGAGTTTTGACCTTTTACTTACTATATACCAGCTGAGTCCAAGCAGAAAGCCAATGTGAGGCAATGCACATTGGTACAGTAGGAAGAATACTATTCATAGAAACGTGGATCTGGAGCAAGAAGGAATCTCAGAGGAGATTTAGCCCAACCCTCTTATTTAGTGATGAGAGCAATGAAGCCCATAAAAGTTAAGTAGCTTGCCTAAGGTTACACATGAAGAAAGGAGGAGAGCCAGAATTTGAATTCAGGTCTCATGGCTAAAACTTCATCAACTTTCTATGGAGATCTTGTCTCTACCCAGAGCCCTAATGTCTATTAGCTTTCTAATTCTGGGCACAATCATTTGGCTTTTCTCAGCCTTAGTTTCCTCACCTTAAAATGAGCATATGTATGTTGATGAGTGGATATGAAGTTAGGGGACCTGGGTTGGAATCCTGCCTCGGATACTGGCTGTGTGAATATAAACAAATCACTGGGCCTCTCAGAGCCACACTTTCCTCCTCTGCAAAATGAGGGAAACAATACTTGTTTAACTATTGAGCTTGAATTGTTAGAAAGCATTTTGCAGACCTTAAAGGGTTCTAGAAACGTGAATACTGCTCCATTTGGTCCTGATTTTGTCTGCTTGCCACCTGTTACAGAATTGAGGTGAGTCCTTTTAGGGTTCTGGTAGTCTACTTAGCAAGTACTACTTGGCAAGATTTTGGGGGGTGATTTGGACCACACTTTTCCTTTCCCTTGTTACTGGTCTAGAGACACCTGAGGGGGAAACTCATAGCCCATATTCATATAGTTTAAGGTTTGCAAAGCACTTTACAAAAATGACCTCATTTGATCCTCACGACAACCTTGGGAGATAGGTGCTATTACAACCCCCATCTTACAGGTAATAATGTTGAAGCTGACAGAGGGTAGGTGCCTTGACCAGGGCCACACAGCTAATAAGTGTCTAAGGCCGGATTCAGACTCAGGTCTTTCTGACCTAAGGCCCAGTGCCCCTTCCACTCTGCACCTTAGCTGGCCCACTACCAATGCTGATCAGCCCCTGCTCTGAATCATAAAGTTTTAGAGAGGAGCACTGGTCTTATGGATGGAGGAGCTGGTCTTGCAAACAAGAAGAGGTAATTTCAATTAATACCTCTGGTACATTCTGGCTCTATGACCCTGGGTAAGTCTAACCTCTCAGTGCCCCAGGAAACTCTATTAATAAGGTATAGTACATAAAAATTTCCACTTTAGATATATGACATCTTTCCTTAAAAGGGTTCAAAGTTTTCACATGTATAATAAAACATCTCTAATTTAGACTGATGGAGAGGTAGGAAGAAACGTCTGAATCATAGAATGTTTAAAGAAACACAATTTAATAATAAAAATAACAAAGTCCTCCTCCAATGGCTCATCATAGTGTGGAGATGACTGTGGGTTCCAAAAGGTTAGATGCTACTAGCTACTAGCTCTTACATTGAGCTAGTAAAGCTCTGAGTAGAGGCCCAAAATAGGCTGGTATTCGAAGAGACTCCTTGCTATCCAGTTGCTCAGAAAGGGAATATGAGTCCATGGAGAAGGTGGCCAGTAGGTGAATTTTTCAGTCTAAGGAGCTTTTAAGGGTTTATAACCTGTATTGGAAAGTCCCTGATTTTTCAAAGAATTAATGTAAAGAACATATTTTAACTTGACCTAGATTAATGAAAAGCATTAGTCAATGGCAATTGTTAAGACTCTAACAGATAAAGATATTTGCAATCAGCACACTAGCTGTTTCTGTAGAAATAGGGCACTTGAAGGTGCTTTTTAAAATGTATTCCTCTAAGAATTTTAGACAGTCCTCCTATAATCTTATTATTTATTTACATCAAAAGCTACTGTAATTACCCATCAATGTGCACTATTAATGAAGGGTTTACTACACAAACTCTGTTTCAACCAATCTCTGTCAATTTTTAATTAAGGGGAACTTCAATTAGAGATGTTGCTATATTATCTTATTCAACCTCACAGGCTTATCACAAACTCTTATTAGTGGCATGCATTGTGTTAAGTATGCTGCGGATTTTTTTTTCCTTTAATAAGTCCTGACTATGTTTTATGTTTGCTATCCCCATTTTGCTGAGAAATTGGCACAAAATGTAAAAGTGTTTTCCTGTAAGTAGCCCAGTTTGGAATAGACTTACCAAGGGCTCTAGGTTTCCCAAGTCTTCCCCCTACCCCACTCCCAAACTAGGTAGCTGAAAATCATTAGCAGGACAGCTTCACACCACAACAGGAGGGCTGCCTATCAAAAACCATGGTAAGGAAATTCAACAAATAATTATCAAGCACTTACTGTGTATAAAGCAGTGATTAGGCATTGGGGAAAGATACAAAATTTAGATAAGAAGAAGTCCCTGCCCTCATGAAGCTCAGTCTAGCAGGGACTTTGATCGTGACCTGTGATTACATTGGTGTAGGCAACTCCTTGGTAAGGAAACTCCCTCTACCAATGCAGGTTGGCAGCTGCTCTGCACTTTACAATCTTAGAAAGTTGCCTAAAACAGTGAAAGGTTAGGTGACTTGCTTAGGGTCACACAGTATGTAACAGCTAAGGTCCTAGAACCCCAGTCTTCCTGGTTGAAAAGTCAGCTCTCTAATCTATGGGCCGCTGCTTCTGCAGGGGAATAAGGTACAAACATAATCCACAACGCACAACACGACATGGTAAGTGCCTTAGAGAAGCACAAAACAAAGGGTTATGTGAGGTCTAAAGGGGAAGGTCATTCAATACCTATTAAGGGGATCAGGGAAGACTTCCAAGAGCAGGTAGCATTTGGCTTAGAGTTTAAAAGATTAAGAGGGACATGGAATATATTCCAGGCCGAGGGTGCAGCATAAACAAAAACACAGCAGCAGGAAGGCCCTGGTTGTGTTCCAGGAGGTAGTGCCTCATAGTGGAAAGGATGCTAGATTTGGAGTCGGAGGAATGGGAACTCAACTTCCAGCTCAGCCACTTACTGTCTGTACTGGGCAATTTATTTCATCTCTGTGGGCCTCAGAAGAACCGTAGGTTTCCTAGGCCCCCCACCTCCCACCTCGAAATCTCTGTGATCCCTTCTAATTTTAAATCTTAAATAAAGATTTTATAGGTGCAAATGACCTCAGACATCCTCTATGGCTAGGGTTCTTAATCTTTTTTTGGTGTCACAGACCCCTTTGGCAATCTGGTGAAGCCTATGTACTCCTCAGAATAATGCTGTTAAAAGCATAAAATAAAACATACAAGATTACAAAGGAAATCAACTAATTACAATGATACACAATTATCTATCTATCTGTCTATCTATATTTTAAAAATTCATGGACTCCAAGTTAAGGACCGTGATACAAGTTGTCCAGCTGGGTTAGAGAGTATATGTAGTGGAGTGTGAGACTAGGCTGGAAAAAATGGCTTTACCAGATTGTTGAGGGCTTTGAATGTCAGGAAAAGGAGTCTGAACTTTATTTTGAAGGCTATAGTGCAAGGGTTCTTAACCTTTTTTGTGTCATGGATGGACTCCTTTAAATGCACTAAAAAACAAAAAACAAAAAAAACCCAACAACCCGTATATGATTACAAAGGAAACCAAGTATATCGAAATACTTACATAGAAAAAACACACCCACAAGTTCAGAGACCCCAGGTTAACAACCCTTGCTATAGAGCTCCCCCAGGCTGCAGAGAAGCATAGAAAAGATAGCTCAGAACGAAGGCCACGAAATGAGGAAGGGTACCAAACAAGCAAGCCCTGAATGCCAGAATAGAAAAGAGGGAGAGCTGGAGGGAGGAAGCCCTGCAGACGGGACAGGAGGGAAAACCCCGCCCCTTCACTCTGCCCCGCCCCTCCTGGCCCCGCCTCCTGGTCACTCCCTGCCAGCCCCGCCCCAGCCCCGCCCCTCCCGGCTCGCGTTACCGCTGGGTGAGGCTCAGCAGGCGGGTGGATGTCAGGTAGAGGCCGCTCGGTTCCTCCATGAGGGCGGCGTCGGGGGAAAGAGAGCGCTTAAACTCCCCGCTCCCCCGGGGTCGCAGCCATCGGGCACTGGGGCAGGGTCTGCAGTGGCGGCGCAGTGCCTCCACTCGCTCGGTCCGCTACCTCAGGCCGGGCCCCCGCCGCCAACCGCCGCGTCCTGGCCCCGCCCCACAACCTGCCAGCCAATCGGAGTCTTTGGCGGCCGCACCTCGTCCCTCGCTTGATGAGTGATTGGTTCCCTGTCAACATGGTCCGGTCCACTCCGCCAGGACTCTGTCCGTAGAGTGCACGCTGGGACTTGTAGTCCGCTGGAGAAGAAGGGGCGTTGGTTTAGCCGGTGCAGAGTGCTCTGATCACCGACTGTTAGCGCTGGAAAGGATTGTGGAGTATAGAATTTTAAAGCTGGTTCAGACATGGAATGTTAGAGCTAGAAGGGAAGTTAGAACATAGAATGATAGCCCTGAAAGGGACCTTAGAACATAGAATATTAGAGCTGGAAGGGACTTTGGAACCCACGCAATCACAGTTAGCAGGGACTTTAAAATAGAGATTTTCGGAGCTAGAAGGGACCTTAGAGCATACATGAAGTAATGGCAGGTTAGAATGGAAGCAGAGCATAGAAAACACAATGGCACAGCTGATGGAGAGAGATCGTGTCTCCTTTGAATCTTTTCTTCAAGAGGCTAAACACTCCTTGTTCTTTCAACCAGTCCTTGTATGGGCATGATTTTCAAGTCTCTTCAAGTTGCCCTCCTCGGAATATTGCTTCAGTTTGTCAATGTCCCTACAGGGATGTGGTGCTTAGAACTAGTCTGGATGAATAGGTGGTTCCAAAGGAAAGAAATCTAGGTTATCCATGGCTAAATGAAAGATGCTCCTAATCAATCACTAATAATTAGAAAAGTGCAAATTAAAGCAACTCTTGGGTTCTAGCTCACACCCATCAGACTGGCAAAGTTGATAAAAAGGAAACAATTGTTCCAGCAAGGCACATGCTGGTAGACCTTTGAACTGGTACAGCCATTCTGGAAAGCAATTTGGTAGGGTTTTTTTTGTTTTTGTTTTTGTGGCAATTGGGGTTAAGTGACTTGCCCAGAGCTAGTATGTGTCAAGTGTTTGGTCTGAGGCCGGATTTGCACTCAGGTCTTCCTGACTTTAGGACTGGGGCTCTATCCACTATGCCACCTAGCTGCCCCCCCAGAAAGCAATTTGGAACTATACCCCTAAAGTTACTGAGTTGTGCATGTTGTTTGATCCAATGGTATCACTATTGGGCCTATAGTCCAAAGAAATCAAAGAAAGAGGAAAGGTCCTATATGTACAAAAATAGTTATAGCAGCTCTTTTTCTAGCGGCAAAGGACTTGAAAGTAAAGGCATACCCATCAATTGTAGAATGACTGAACAAATTACAGTATATAAATCTATATTATACACATAGTATGTAAGTAACAGAATACTACTGTGCTATGAGAAATGAAGAAAGAGCCAGTTTCAGGGAAATCGGTAAAGACTTGTATGAATTGATACAGGGTGAAGTGAGCAGAATCAAGAGAACAATTTAAACTATAAAAACATCAATATTGTAGAAAAAATGAACAATTATGAAAAGAACTCTGATTTATGCAATTATCAAGCATGGCTCTGAGGACCAATGGTGAAGAATACTACCCACCTTATTACATAAGTGATGGGCTCATTATGAATAATGAGATACCCATTTTGGATATGACCAATATTGGAACTTTTTTAGGTTGACTATGCTTATTTGTTACAAAGGTTTCGCATTTTTTTTTCTAGTGCATGGGGGAGTGGAGAAGTAGGAGGGAGAAAAACAAATAATTGATACTTGGAAAAAAAACAATACAGAAAAAAAGAAACCAAATAGAAACTCATTAACTGAAGAATGGCTAAATAAGATGTGGTGCATGAGTGTAATAGATTATCACTGCCTTGTAAGAATATGAAGAATTCAAAGAAGCAGAGATTTATATGAAGAAAACCAGAAAAACAATATATTCAATAATTACAACAATGTAAACAGAGAAGACAGCAAAATGAAACCAAACAATATGTAATTAGAATGACCAAGCTTGAGTTGAGAAAGGTATCTCCTATCAGATATGGTTGATATTTGGTTGGTTTTACCTAACTTTTTTTTTCTCTCTTTTTAAAAATCTCTATTACAAGGGATGGTTCACTGGGTAGGGGAGGGATATATCAAGAAATAAATGTGATATAACAACAAAAAGAAAACAACAAAATATAAAATTTATAAAGCCTTGAAAAAGGAACCATACCAGATACTTCAGATGTGGTTTAATCAGGGCAGAGGACAAATAGAACTATCACCTCCTTTGCTATGGACATCACACTTCTTCTTTTTCTTCTTTTTTTTTTTTTTGGTTAGGCAATGGGGTTAAGTGACTTGCCCAGGGTCACACAGCTAGTAAGTGTTATGTGCCTGAGGCCGGATTTGAACTCAGGTCCTCCTGAATCCAGGGCTGGTGCTCTATCCACTGCCACCTAGCTGCCCCCACACTTTTAATGAAGCCAAAGATCACCTTAACCTGAAAGAATGGTATCTGGAAGGCTAAAGCACTCTCTCCCTCATGCAAGTACAGTGGCCTGTCCAGACATTATGCCATTATTTACTGACATCAACCTTGAGAGCTACAAGGATACATACACAATGAAAGGGTGAGGGTGGGGGTGGGAAGGGAGTGTTAGTGTGACTGCTTGTTGGGCAACATCATGTTTTCAAGTGGGCTACAGCTAGAACTTAATTATGTGTGCTCTGCTGGATACCCTTCTGAGCTGTACCTCCTCAACCATCTGAATGAATGAATGAAAAATATTTACTAAGCAGTAATAATGTGTTGAGCATCATGCTTAATTAGCACTGAGAATACAAATATGTAAATAAGTCTCTATCCTCAAGGAACTTACAGTCTAGAAGGAAGAGATAGCACCAGGAAGAGAATATGGTCCAGGAAAAGGTATATTGACTTGGAAATTTGCAAAGATGGTGAGCAGAGTGATGGGAACCTTTTCCAGAAACAACGGCGGTATTCAATTGGTTGATTGCTGTTTCCAGAGAAAGAGGTAGAAAGGGAAGTATGGGGAGGTATGAATATCAAAGAGATGCTGGGAGGTGAACAGTTGGATGAAATGAAGGATGGTCTGAGGTCTGGGTTTGGCTAGATATATAGTAAGCCACATACAGTGATGCTGGCTGACTCATCAGTCAGGACAGTACATGCTCAAAGCTATTGCAAAAGCCAGGTGGATTAGGTGAACAAGGGGACAGTCTCAGAAGTTTTGGTGGTTCAGAGGAAACTCTAACAGGATGAATGGAAAGGAGCAGGCTGAGGTGATTGTGGATGAGATGTGAAACACAGTTTGGAATCTGGGACAGGCTAGAAAGAGTGGACCACATGCATTTGTACTGGCTGACTCACTGGGGATTTCAGCCTCTCTGCCTTTGACCAGTTTCCTAGAGACTCCAGTTTTTCCTTGGAACTGATACAGAGGAGCTTTGCCTTTGGCACCAAAGGGCTTTCATCTAACATTTTCTTCTTAACTTCCCCATCACTGAACATGAACTTCAGGTCCAGAGACTTATAACCTTACTTAGATCCTGAGTCTGCTTAGCAACTTTGGTTCAAAATATACACTATGTTCAATGGTAAGAAAAAAATTTAAAGTATAAACAAATTCACAAACAATATATCAGATGAAAGTCACTAAAATGTGAATTAAAGAAAACTATCTAGTGCTAGATTTAAATTTCTCAAGCTCTTCTTTCCTAACTACATCTCCCATGGAACCTGGCTTCTCCCATGACTGTCTCCAGACTATAAGCCTTGTGCTAATGTAGCAGGTGTTGTATCCCATAGAATATTGTGGGGGGTGGACCTAAATAGGGGCCATTCTGTGGAGAGGGCACAGGAACCCCCCTTCCCCTGACACTTTTGGGCAAACGCAATTCAATTCTGAAAGGGTTTAGTGGTTGGATTAGGGTACACCCCATGTGGCACTGAGCCTGCACACTCATGTGGCTCAGTACTGAGAAGGCCTGGCACTTTGGATAGTACCTCAGACCGTGGGTGGTCCTTGATCACCTTCTTTCCTCTTCCTTCCTCCTCCCAGCTGCCAGTAGTTAAAAAAGAACCATAGCTTCTACTTGCTACCTCTTCCTTCTTATCTCTGCAACATGTGGCAAGTCGCTTGGCATCCCTGGGCTTCCCATGAGGTGTGGGAAAGAGCTATTGCTTTTCTAGTATCCTGGGAGAAACGCCAAACCATTCACATGTGGCATGTAGAACTGGGGATATAGGACTGTAGATGAGGAGAGCCTAGGCCTCCATCTGCCTTTTTTTCTTTTCTTTTCTTTTTGTTTTGTTTTGTGTCTCATTCCCTAAGCATAGGTAGACAATGGAACCAAGATGGACACGTCCAGCCTTGGAGGCAGCCTCATGTGTTTGAGAGTTCAGGAGCACCTGGATTTTTCAGTTGGAGGTGACTGCCTCAGAGAGAATAACCACCAACAGGAGAATGAGCCCAATCCATGGCCAGGCTTGCTAGAATAAATGGACCTGGATTTGGTTGGATAGTACAGATCCAAGATAAAATGTAAAAGGCCTATTCAGTGGTCCCACAAGCTACTTAAAGTTCTGATTTCCAAGCCTCAATCTACATAGGGGTCTAAAAATAGCTGTTCTACTACTGTTGCTTGTAAGTTTTTCTGTCATTGTGTGCTTATGAGTCTTTTGTGTAGATGAAAATAAGTGTAGATGAATCTTTTGTGTAGATGAAATAAGTAACTGTCTTATGCTTGATATACATTGTACTGCGGGTACCTTTCTTCTTCTCCTTTTGGGAAGACCCTGGACATGAGCTAAATCTAACTTTTAAGTATTTTTTCCTAGGGTTCCTGGATGAGGGCATAAATCAGAGAGTGTGAGAAAGTGCCTGATCCCTCTTTCTAGAGAACCAGATTTCACCAAGATTAAACTCAATCTGTGAGTGTGTGGATACAGAACTGACAGGGACTAGATGAATATGAAATCAACACTAAAACAATCCTTATCACTCCCTGTCCCTGAAATCCCTACTTCCCAGGTGGGAGGTAGACATCATGAAGCTCTATTC